TAGATAGATAGATAGATAGATAGATAGATAGATAGATAGATAGATAGATAGATAGATAGATCATGGAAAGTTGTTTACCCCATTTTTTGCCAGATGCTGCTTGCCCATGCAAGGCAGGGGCTTTAGTGCTTGAGGTATAGGTAGTTCTTGGATGCTTTTAGGGAAATGAGAGGGAGGGAGAATCTGGAGGATGGTTTGCATGGCTTGCAGGTATAAGGATGCAGGCGTGTTCCCCACCAGGCTGTTGAACTTGTCGTCTCCAAGCAGCATTGCCCAGGGTTCAGGGTGTTCCCGCAAGACCTTCTTCATCTTAAAGCGCGGGTTAGGCATGAAGAGCAAGAGGTAGTCAAGGCAGAGTTTTTTGGAAGCCACATTGACTTTGGAATCCCACATCTGTTCCAGGACGACATCCAGTGGAGTGAGCCCTTTGTTGTCTTCTATCTTAGGAGAAGCTCCGTTTCCTAGCAAGATGAGAACAGTCTCTGATCTCAGGAGCTCACAGGCGAGATGCAGAGGGGTCTTGCCATCTTCAAGATGAAAACAGCCGGTCCTGTTGATGTAAGAGTTTAGGCTAGGCAGCTTGTGTGCAATGCTGATGATCAGCCCCAGGATGTCCCTCCTGTCATAAGTTACAGCCATGGCTAAATGAGGAGCAGAGGACGGGCAATAGCAAAAATGCTCTCCGGGAACTTTGAGAGCCTCCTCCGGAAAATGAGACAGCAGATACTGGGCATAAGGCAGGTGATTGTGCACCACAGCATACAGCAGTGCTTCTGAAGGGGAATATGTCCTGATGTTAGCACTCGCCTCCCAGTAGAAATACTGCATAGTCCTCATGTCCTCTAGCAACCACACAGGTTTGTGATCTCGGACGGCCTGGTAGAACATATAAGATAGAAATCTGCAATGCCTGCTCTGGGCATCCTGTAAACTGGATACATTACTACTGGCCATATTTTGAGTCTCTTTTTGTGCAAAAACGAAGAAGCACAACAGTAGCAGCAGTAATAACAGCTCTCGGCGCAGCGGAAGATTGGCTTTCAGGTTCAGTGCAGGCTCCAGAGGCTGCCTGACACCTTCAGGCTGTCATTGCAGCAGCTTGCTCTGGACTGCACCAGCCAGAATGCATAGCTCTCTTCTGATGGGGCTGCTCATCTCCACCCATTCACTGCTTTCTCTTTCTCACTGCGGTGATTTTGTTGAGGTAAGCAATCTCACGCCAGCTCAGTTAACCATTGATATGCAAGCAAGCAGCATATGAAATCAGCTCTGTAACAGATTTAATGCCAACAGTTGTGATTAAAAAAAAACAAAGAAAACAGATTCAAGGAATCTGTTTAGAGGGGATTATGATTGCCTTTGAAATGAAAACCATTGTTTGGCCTGGGTGAAAACCCTTGTTTGTTTTTAAAGATGCTCCCTAAACAAAGTCCATGATAATTTGGTCTCTTTGTGATCCAACCTAGTGAACTGAAATATAAACTTCCATCTTAGCCTGACAGGTTATTGAATAATAGCCCTCTAGCACAAGCTTGCATGCATCTGGCTACAGTAGCTGTGGGTTTGAGAAAATGCTGCTGCTCTGGGAAATTGGATATTCAAATCTTTAACAAGTGACAGAGGTAGCCAGTAAAATTAAGATTTTGGTGATGCAATGTATAGGGGCAAGATGCAAAGTGAGGCTGTTAAGCAAGGATAACATTCTGGATCTCCCTGGATTTGGAAGGGAGTTAATGAGTTTTTCACTGTTTCATTTTTAAATTAAACAGGTTTTCCAGCAGTCATTTTATTGGTCCTCAAATGCCCCTAGTTTGCACAACCAAAATTTGGTGGCAAAATCACTGATTTTTGTGCCATGATTTCTGCTTCCTTGCTTTTCTTCAAAGTGTAGAATTGAAGTGTTTATTTTGTACCTCTAAATCAGTGGTGGGATTCAAAAATTTTTACTACTGATTCTGTGGGCGTGGCTTGGTGGGCATGGCAGGGGAAGGATACTGTAAAATCTCTATTCCCTCCCTTCTCCACTAACCTGCTTTCCAGCTCCATTCTCCTGTGGAGGGCAACAAAAGACCCAGCTGACCTGGGACTTGGGAGGCAAAGAATAGACAGGGGCAGGGGCAGTCAAAGGTGGTATTTGCCGGTTCTCCGAAGTACTCAAAATTTCCGCTACCGGTTCTCTAGAACTGGTCAGAACCTGCTGAAAACCACCTCTGCTCTAAATGCTACCAAAAAGTGTTTCTGCCTTACCCTCTTTTGCCACCCCCACACCACAGAACACACACACACACACACACTCCTTGAAGACTCCAAGAGCTCCTTTTCTTTTCTTTTAAGTGAACACTAACTTAGAAAAGATGCTCATTTCTGCTAGATTGTTCTGGTTTATTACAGGGATATTATATATATAAGAATGGAACTTTTACATAGAAATAAGACAAATCCAAAATAAGTTTGAAGACTAACTACTAAATATAAATACAAAAAAGAAAAAGAAAAAAAGAAACTGATTTAATGTCTGGGGGAAAAAAGAACAGAATCGGAGCATTCCTCATTTTTCTCATCTATAACTTATATTAGTTTGCTGAAATTTGGAAATATATAAAAATATTTTAGTTACTCCCTACAGTTGCTCCTTTCCTCCTCTTTTCTCAATGTTATATAAGCACTGAAAGGAGCTTACTTTAGTATGATATTATAAAGTACAATACTTTAAT